CACATACACTCACTCCTAACGTTTTTTTTTTTTTGACAAGGCAGTCTATTTCTATCATGTTGGCTGGTGCACAGTGTGCTTTAAATCTCTACTGGTGTTGTTGTGTCGCTGTCCTATTATCTCTTATGCTCAAAAAAAAAAAATCGACATCATTGTTCTCAAGGACGCTTCTTGCGGTTAAAAAGATGACCCCCCCCCCCATTTCTTCATACAACATAACTAATGCCAAAGGTAGCATATATCACATAATTCTTTATAACTTAGGATAATATGATATGATATAAAAACTAATTGCACTTTGTTCTACAATTAAAACTCAGTAATTCAACAATAAATGACACGCAGGGGGAGAAGATTGAGCGTGCTCCTGAGTTAAATGTAACCTAATTCTGTAAGCCGATGGCGTGACTGGTGTGAAATATTTCCTCAGTTGTCCATTTGTGAATACTCCCCTTCTTATGTTTTGAATATAATCACGGTATAGAATTTAACTGTTTGTTGGTTTTGTAAAGCGCTAATATTTGTTTTAATAGTTTTATCGGGTTAACTCCTGTACTGCATTGTTGAACAACCGATGAACTGACAACACATAAAAGTGCAATTCGACAACATAAGCCTACACAATAAAATGAAATGAACAATTTCACCAATTATTCAAATAATGGAACATTGCATTCGTAATTTTATTCGTAAGCCATACGAACTATCGAATAACTCGCCTTCCGTAAATATTGTTATGTCTAGAGAAAATACATGTTTAAATTCGACATGCTATTCAACTTGTGTATCTTTAATACTCTTGATATCATCGAAACTGTGTATACCTACCTATGTTTGTGAATCGACTTGATTTTGTACTTTAAATGTCCACTTCCCTATATAAAATCATTGAAAAATCAAGCTCTGTGTAGATTTCATACAACAGATTACACGTTGCATAAACCGCCTCAATTACATGGATGATAAAGAGCTCTGTTTAATATTTTTGGAAAGGTCATTTGATCACCACATAAAGAAAAAGAGTAGGATTAATTACCTAAGGGTATCGGAAAACTTGTCAAGACGTGTAGACAAAAATGGAAAAACTGTTTGATGTCGTGCAATATATGAAATGAACAAATACGACTTTTGAACTAATAAATTAATAAACATATCAAAGCTCAGGACATTCTGATGTAAAACATGGGATTGTATGCATGGGTGAAGCTTAATTGGTTCTCATTGCATGACTTTTGCTCATCAATCGAATTTATATCAAATAAAATGAGGTCAAATAATCCACTGGATCATAAACTTCCCCGAATTATGGAGTTTTGCCTCTTAAAGATAATTATAATGATCAAATGTACGTGCTTATTCATAAAAAGGAAACATACTGTACATGAAGCTCATCTGTGCATAACGCATACATATTGTTTAACAGGCATTGATAAGGCCATCGTCTCCATTTTCCCTAAGTACTTTCGAAAGCAATATATTACTGTCATCTATAAGATCAATTTGATATTTGACAATTTCCTGTAACAGACCGTATCAGTATTTGTTTGTTTACAATGCCAGAGAAATGTTCATGTTTACTATGCGTGTGTGCAGCACTTTGTAACTGCAAGGAAAAGGCGCTATATCAAATATATTTTGAATTGGATTGGATTTACTTGATTCGATTTCAATTTCCATATAATCTGCCTTAGTGTGCGATATTAAGAATCTCTTATCAAACACTAAAAAGCCTAAATTCTTAGAAAGCCTACATAACATTTTATTGTGCTCATTTTGAAACTAGCAAGTCAGAGAAGGATAAACAAACCTAGTTAAACATGATTATGATCGACCGTAGGCGTACGAGACGCGGCGGGGAAGGGTGTGTGGGCCGTGGGGGTACAGCCTCCTCCCCTTTGCCCTCCCTCAGTATGCCCATATTTGGGCTAATGTAGTATCATATTTGGAGGTCGATTCACATCTCAAAGCTTTATTTCTATGCCATTATTTTGTTTTAGATAAAAAGTATAAATCCCTCACCATCTTTCATTCCCAACTCTAAACCGCCTAAGTCATGTAGCAAAGTTATCTCATATATGCAATTGTTTTCATTAGATAAAAATGCCATGATATGTTAAAGGGAAAGTCTACCCCCAAAATAAGTTTGTCTCGATAGAGGCAGAATAATAAGAAAATAAGGTGAGTGAAAGTTTGAGCAAATTCTGAATGAAAATAAGAAAGTTATGAATTATTGAAGTTGTGATCAAACAAATACAAATTGGCAACTCTGTGACTTATTATACGAGCTCTCCTTCATTTGCTTTGTGCATAATATTCCATAAAATCATGTTTTCTTCGTTATTGATGACGGAATATATATTTGTTCCTTGCAGGGGGAGTATAGAAACATATTTGCAATTATTATATTTAGGGTGCATGTATGGTTGAAATTTTTCTTGAGGGAAAATGAAAAATTTTAGATTTTTTTAGTACTGAGCAAATGGAAGTTGAGCTCGCATGATACGTCATAGAGTTGCCAATTTGTGTTTGATTGATCACAACTTCAAAAATCTTAACTTCCTTATTTTTAATCGGAATTTGCTCAAACTTTCACTGACTTGTTTCTCTCATTTTTCTACTCCTATTAAAACTAACTTAATTTCAGGGTGGACTTCCCCTTTAAGGCTTCTCGGCATTGCAATGTGTAATTCTCTGCTAGATATCAAAATTCATACACTAATTTGATAGTGAAGATAACATCACGGCGTAATCTCTTTATCATACTTTATAGGCTCTCACTACTACTTGATAAACATTATGTAGATTGTAAACTTGTTACAATAATTGTGCTATTATTGTCATTTATATATTAATATATTAACGGCAGATTAAAGTGGATTGCACATTAGAAAGACAGTATACTATAAGCACACAATGGAAACAAACACAATGGCCCGAATTCTCAATGGAGGTTTGTCGACAAACCTAGGTTTATTTGCGTCATATGACGCGTTTCAGACCAAGGTTTGTTTGAACCTTGGTCTGAAACGCATCAAAACGCTTATGACGCACAGAAACCTAGGTTTGTCCACAAAACCTCCTTTGTGAATTCGGTCCATAGTGTCAGCCCTTGTTGAAAGTAGAGGAATCCATTATAGATATACTTTTTTTCAAAGAAGAGATTGATGGTGTCGGGTTTGATTCTTGAAAACTTGCAAAGATGGTGATAATTGAATAAGAAGTGGTAATTTATTAAACCGTGAACATGCAAAGTAAGAAAACAAGCGTTTTTTAAACTCTTCATCGGTATTCCCTTGTTATTGTTTTATTTAACATTATTGTAGCCGGCTTTTAAGTTTTTTGTGAATTTGTGGTTCATTGTTCCTCATCTGTTAAATGAACGACTCACATTTTAAGGAAGGATGTGTTATCATATTGTGACCCACATCCGCTTCTGGCAGTGATATTATGTTATGTTACTTTGTTCATGCCATTGTTGTCATTTGCATTCTAGTATAAATTGTGTGTACTGTATATGTAGCAGCCTGAAATTACATTTTCTTTTTTTTTCATGATGAAATATCAGTAGGCTTATCATTATCGTTACCAGTCGTTTTAATACATTTTGCTTATTTATAATATTTACTTGAATGAATGAACAAATACAAATGTGTCTTTACTATTACGAATTTATCAGAAAACTTCAAAGCAATGGTCTCTATTTTTAAGGGTGTTCTGGTATGATGCTGAATTAATAATGGATACTCAATATGAAAGGGGAGTAGAAGAAGGAGGAGAGAACTATTAGTATGGTTGGATAGTCTATACACAGACGGCTCGAGAGAAGAGGAGTGGAAGATCCGGAAATGAAGCTTAGCGAAGACTAAAACCAGAGCGTTATGGAATAGCATGATCGTCAATGTCGACAAATATAGCACCTAGAGATAGAGAGGGAGAGAGAGATAGAGAGAGAGACAGAGAGAAGGAGAGAGAGAGAGAGAGAGAGAGAGAGAGAGACCTATTAAGAATACACACAACTCGTATCACTACAACTTAAATGCATTTCTTAAAAAATATGTAAGCACTGGTTTGATTATGAAAGTAATGTTCAAATAAAGGAGCAGATTTAGGGGTGGCACACTAGCAAATGATATTTGAGCAGTTTGTGATAGTGATGATAGTGAGGATGATGGCGATGATGGTGATGATGGGGTCGATGCCGGTGATGATGATGATGATGGCTATGATGGATATGATGGTGAAGATTAGGACGATGATGGTGATTATTATTATGATTATTAACCCTACAGGGGTGAGCATGATGCATCATGACCCAGTAAGTGTGTTTCACCCCCACCCCTTTAAAAATGTAGCTCTAGCTACGTATCCATCTACTGTTACCATTCAATTTCCCGTTTCCTGATTTTAACAGGAAGAACATCCTCTTTATGAATAAGCAACTTTCGATTGGTTCAAAAGAAAACTGATAAAACACATTGTGGGGAACCACATAACTAATTACTGCGGCATGTTTGGGATAAGCAATCACTGGTACAAATCACTGTTGAACAGGAATCACGCATCTACACGCACCTGGGCCTTGTGGTAATAACGATCATTAAACTATTCTTGATGATTGTGGTAGGGTATTGCTGTGATGATAAAGATTGGTCAATATGAACATAATGGTAGTGATAATATATATAAAGATGATATTAATGGAGGTGATGATAATGAGGATAACAGCAATGATGGTGATGATGGGGTCGATGGCGGTGATGATGGGGATGATGGTGATGATTAGGAGCACATATTTTTGTTTTTGTCCCGGAAGTTGGAAAATTATGCCGACCGATATTTCGTTCAGGAGGGGGGGGGGGGGGGGGGGTGGGGGGGGGGGGGGTTATTCCCAAACACACATATATAACAACAAGAAAATGAGGGGGTAACCCAACCCCCCCCCCCCCCTCCCCTGCGTACGCGCCTGTATCCATCTACTGTTACCATTACATTTCCCGTTTCCTGATTTTAACAGGAAGAACATCCTCTTTATGAATAAACAACTTTCGATTGGTTCTCAAATGTACTGATAAAACACATTGGAAGAAATAACAGAACTAATTACTGCGGCATGTTTTGGAATAGTCAATCACTGGATATAAATCACCGTCGAACAGCGATCATGCAACTACATTTCAGCTTCCTTATAAGAATGTAGTGGAACTTCGACTACCTCTTTTCCTTAAGAGAACTGCACACCTCTCCCTAAATCAAAGGGAAGAGGGAATATGGAGTGAACGAAAACCTTGAATTGAACTGTCTTCATGGACTGGGATCTATAAGCTATTCTACCTGAGAATTCCTGGGGTATTCTCCACAAAAATCATAAATATTGGTTCATGAAAATTTGAAAGTTGACTTCATCGGACCGTGCTCAAAGACAACCAGTGACAACCAGTTCTTGCCGCGGACATCAGGAGATGCGATGAACGGTAGTGGTGAGTAGAACAAGTGGGGGAGGGTACCCCAGGGTATTCCAGAAGATTCCTTTCTCTGGAGGTCGGTATTTCTGAAAATAGAACAGGGTTCATTATATCGAAGTTTCCGAATTTCGAAGGTATTTCCGATTTCTGTATAATTCCGAAAACGAAATAGGGATATCTTTCATTTACGAAAGGTGGGTTCTCTTTCATTATCAAAATGTCGATTGTATCCAATTTTGTATGTGAATTTCAAATAAACTCTCAATTTTGCATGATGGGTGGTATTCCGGTAGCGCGTACTAAGTTAGCGCGTGCTTAGTTAGTTCACACTTTTATGGAGTGCCTGTTGTGAACTAATTTACCCTGAACAGATTATTTTAATCCTTCAATGAAAAGTGTCCAAAAAATTAATTTTGCACTGAAATAGGAAGAAAAAGACAATATGAATATAAACTAAATTTCAACAAAGTCCTTGGTAGATTATCTTTGTCATGAATATTGAAGGAGGAAGATGAAACCTAGCATTCCATAGAAGTGCGAACTAAAATTCTTGTTTAGTCTGGACTTAGTCCCGGCTTAACTTAAGAGAATACCACCCAATAATGATAAAAGTCTTGTTCGTTCGTTGGTTAGAAATTGAAACAAATATAGAAAAAAAGTAGTTGGTATCTATTATACTTCTGATAAATCCAAATACTGTGTGATAAAGATTTTACAGCATTTTAAAGATGTATCTGTATTAGGTCATATCCTTTTCATGACTGTTTAGGCTTGTCTCAATAACTGCTTTATGTACATGAAATGGAGCACATACTTATTCAATTGAATTCCAATTCCAAATATATATCTTTGACACCTACACAAAGAGATACGTACATAGAGAGGAAAAGGTACTCTAAGTTTGTAAAAGAAGGGGTATGGTTTGTATTACTGAAAACAGTGCTTGTGTCAAGAAGACTTTGAGTACCTATTATTTTGCTCCTTCTTTTGCTCCTTCTTGCCCTCCTTCTTTCCCTCCTTCTTTCCCTCCTTCTTTCCCTCCTTCTTTCCCTCTTACCAGTCTTGAAAATGGTCCCTTTCAGTTTCATGGCCCACTTACTACATCAAATGTCACAGTGTAAGGGAATTTACCCCTGCAATGATAAATAGACTATTCTCTTGTGGCCCAGCTATGATGTCATACTCCATGCTCCACTTGTGACCAATCAGCTGTTAGCAAGCTCACTGTCACTGACAATTTCCCACAGAGTAGTCACTGATTGGTTGAGGCCGGCCAGCCAATAGAAGCCCTGTGCTCAGCTCCCTTGTACACATCAGTGATGTACTATGCGAACGGTGTAGTGAATGCGTGTGTGGTTTGTGTGTGCGCCGATGGTCGATTTGTGTGTGTCATGTGTAACACATAAACTGTGGATAGCATGTGGATAGTGGTATCCCTGTACAGTAAACAATAGTATAGTGTGAGTGCGTCAAGAACAGTGCATGTTGCCTTACCGGTACCAGAGTAGCCTACTGATTACGCACCATTCAGAGCGCAACCCAGAGCGTTGGTTTGCTCAAAGTAGTCAAGGGGTAGTATGCTCATGTTAAGTGTGGGTGGAAAGACCTATTACACATGGAATGCTATGTAACCTGGCTACAGAGCTAAATATTTTGGAGTCATATATACCCACCAATTTTCTGACGTCTTGAAGACTGCTAACCTTGGATCCTCTAAGGGAGCTTCACAAAATACGGAGCTCGCAATTTTTTCTTTGACTCGGAACGTGTATGAAGGATTTCTAAAAAGCGACTTGCAATTCATGTGGAAATAATGTAATTTGCCAGCTCTCATGGATTATTAAATTTCTTAATTTGATTTGAGGAATTCTTTACACCCTTGTTTTTACAGCTTTGTAAGCCGAAGGAAGGTGGAGAAGGCTTTAGCAGTGAGTCTTTACAACTGCACGCTGCCTGGTTTGGTTCTCGAGGGACTGATGGACGGACGGACAGACAGACTGGATATTATATCTTGAGTCATCTTTACGTCAGCCGCATCAGGAACAGTCAACCACACTACCGGATTCTCTGCCTCTCAGGAGTAGATCAACTTTTCGATCTGATCTGGATTAGGAACTCGAACTTTATCATTTGCATTCTTGTGGATTAACTATACCCGCATCATCATCAGGAATATTACTTGCCTAAGGAGAGAGAAATTCCTTTTCAGCTGCTTTTTGCCATAAAATCTAATCGCTTATTTTGGAGTGGAAGCAACTCATATTTTTACAAACATGGCAAGAATTTGTGGATTATTACTCATCATTGCAAGCGCCCTTGTCGCAAGGACTATCGCCATGGGATCGCATGGCATGGGTGATGGCCAATGCAACACACCGCTATTTCACCGATATTCATACGAAGGTAAGCACTTCACAGATCCTCACTACACCGCAAATAAAACACATCGCTTCATGATATTCCATGGACAGCCGCTAGCTTCAAAGCCTCTTCCATTTCACCTTTTAACTCTACACGATGGAGTCAAATTATCCCTCAATATCATTTGATTTGATTTGTAAAGCATCATCATATCGCACATAAAACCATTAGAATTTGGATAGTCTTACCCTCTCTCACTTGGAGAGAAGCCAAAGAAACCAGATCTATTCCAAAATCAAGAATTGATAATGGAGGATGGGGGAAGAAATCAGTTTTCTTTTGATCAAATATTGCAATCGGTGCCGCTGAATTGAAACCCAGTTTGATTTCAAATGTGTTGTATTATGTCAATGTTGTTAAAAGGGGAATGAGTAGTAATTCTGTTTTCTCTCTCCCCGAAATGTGTCCTTTCCCCTTCTTTTTCTCCCTTACAGTCTGCCATAACCTCTCCATTAACTTTTGAGCAGATTTAACTCTGAACATTTTTCACAAATGATACTCCATTGTACTTCATGAATAATTTGCCAAATCTTTTCTTTATCTCTTTTGATCTCTCGTTATCATGAAATGTGACTCTTGATACAAAGAGTTTTTCATTTCTTTTCTTCCCCCAAAAAAGGAAAAGGGAAAAAAGTAAAAGCCTGCAGCAAGTTCACCTGCTGACTGTGTGGAATGTACTTTGGCATTGCCACAAGGAGCAAAACACTATTATCATTGGCAAAATTGTATTGGCATTGCAAATAGTAGATTTATGATACCAACTGAAACTCATTCTCCCTCACTTATGTTGCCAAAGGATGCACAATAATATTATAGAAGATCAAACCCATATTTTCTGTATTATTGGTAATGTACTCAACAAAACTGTTATTTTGTGTAGGAAAAAGTCTAAGCCTTGATATATGTTGTGATATTATTGTTATCCAGCAAGATGACTTGAAGCAAGTAGTTTTTAGTTTCGAAGTAAAATAACTTGCAAACCAGTTTAACTGGATTGCTTATGTTGTTTTTTAAATACAGATTTAGGTTTTGGACAAAGGGAAAATTGACTTCGTCTGGTATATTCTGACACAATATAGCAAATCAAGTGAGTTCTATTTCCTTACTTTTATCATTTTTAGCATAGAAAACTGTACTGTGAAATTATTGAATGTGAGTTTCAAACCTGGAGAGAGAATTGGCTCTATAAAACATATTTTTGGCTTATTCGAATATGCCTTAAAATACAAGCAATATTATGCAAAACTATTAGACACAATAATATTATTGAAAACTGTCATTCATCAAATGAAATAAAAATAGATGTTTCTTACAGGAAAGGCAGTATTTACAATTACATTTTAATGCAATCTTAATGCAGTCATTAGTAGTAATGACAAATTTTGAAGAACAAATAAATCTTTAACAAATCAAGTACCTTGCCATATATCTCATTTTCTTCTTTGGTTTCCCTCAATTCTTTTTCCTCATTTCCGCCTCCCTTCTCCCATTTTCTCTTCCCTCTCCTTTCCCTTCAGCTCTTTCTTTTACATCTTTCTTTCACTTCATGTCCGTCTCTAAAATTGTGCGTGAATGTGTGTGTGTGTGCGTCCAAGCATGTTTTTATGAAAATATATATATTATGTTTATATAAATAAAATATATCATTAACATTTCAGCTCGTGGTATGTCATGCAGCCTCATATAGTAACCCGAACATGAACCGGAACCAATGAAACGTAGCCATCTTCGACAAACTTGCTTTGGCTTAAAAGAACATTTTTTCATCATCTAAATCTCAATTTAGTATAAAATGTTCTGTATAAATAAATTATGTTGAGAAATCGGGTATATAGTACATATTTATTATAGGCATATACTTTGAGACATTTTCCCCGGTATCATATCTATAAAATAGAAAAATAGGCGTAATGGCTTCGCTTGATCATCTGGTATCACACACTCTGCAGTGCCCCATTTGCTTCGAACTTCTGAATGATCCTAAGCAGTTATCTTGCACGCACTCGTTTTGTACGAAATGCCTTAATGATTTGTTGTCATTTTCTTCACAAAGTGAGGCTGACGTTTTAACATGTCCAGTATGTCAAACCACGACGGCTGCCGTTGGTGGCGGTGTAGCAAATCTAAATACGAACGTTCCTCTCAAGTGTCTCGTTGAAGATTATAGAAATAGAAAGGGGCTTTGTGGAATGTGCGACAAAAAAGCCAGAGCCAAGCTTTACTGCTGTGACTGTGGAAAGGATATGTGTAAAGCATGTCTCAAAATTCATAACAAATGGTCTCCCAATCTCAAGCATGAAGTTGTGAAAGTAGAGGATATCAGAGAGAACAGAGTGTTCTTAAAGAAGAAGGTCTACTGTCAAGAGCACAAATCAGATGGACAGGAACATGTATGTACCGATGTGTGCACTACTTGCAAGAAGTTCATTTGCATTAGATGTCGGATGTTGTACCATGAAAAGAAAGGCCACTCTGTTCTAGATGCTGAAGAGTACAATAATTCTATCAGGAGAGAAATCGAGTACCTAGTAGACCAGGGTAAGACGAAAGCTACGACCATCAAAAACCACGTGACGCATGTTGAGAGTCAGATGAGTCGTGCCATTGATCACACTGACGTCATACAAGCTCAAATCAACAAGGCTTATGACGAACTGAGCAGAAGATTAAAAGAGAGGAAAGCAGCGCTAGATTGGCAGTTGTACGTTCAGAAAAAGGAACTTCGCCGGAAATTAGAGGAAATGAAAGATGCCAGTGAAAGGGTAGTTGTCAATATCGAGAGCGCCAGTGAGCTGGCAGGCTACAGTTTGAAGGCTCCACTTGGAAGGCACATCATTGCTATTCGTGATTCGCTGTCTGGTGAATTAAAGAATGTACTTGACAAGGATGATCCCAAAGAGAAACTTGCTAGTGACATAGCAAAGAGTGCAGAGGAAATAACATTCATACCCCATAGTCAGAGTGATGAGCTGGAGATCGGTGAAATCCGGATCGTAAAATGTCACCTGAAATGTGACGTAGATCTTACAAAGGAAAGCAGTATGAACGCCATGGCTGCTACACCAGACGGGATGATGGCAGTGGGATACAGTACAGGAGGAATCGATATCTTCTCTGCTGATGGTCAGCTGCAGAAGACAGTCCTCAAGGATGTTAATGCTCTAGGGGCGGGATTCCTGTCTGATGGTCGATTTGTTGTACTGACCACAAGTAACAGCATCATACTGTACACATCAGAATGGAAGATGCTGGATGTACGGTTTGAGACTCTGGGTCTTGATGAAGGCGGCATCGCTGACCTCACCATTGACGGTCATGATCAAATCTATGTCAGCTACAGGACAGCTAAAAAGATCCAGGAGTTTGCACCAGCTGGTGGGAAGGCCATCAGAGAGATACCTTGCGATGGGTATGAGCCTGAGCAGATCAGTAGCTTTGAAAATGATGGATTCGTAACGAAATCAAGCAAAGGTTCAACGTGTTCGATACGTGTCATCGATGCTCAAGGCGCTAAAAAGCACATAGTATCGAACGAGAGCAGTGATTACCTCCTCCATGCAACTGTTTCTCATGAGCAATCTGTCCTCATCTGTTCAGTCAAGATTGATGAGGGATTGGTTATTATCGAAGAGTACAGTAACGAGTTGACTCTCATCAAGATCCTCGTCTATCACAAGATTGAGAAACATGAGAGATTCTGGTACTACTTTCAGCAGTTCCGATCAGGAGAGATTGCTTTCTGTACGCCAGACAGACTTTATATCTTCGAATAGTACGTTAATAAAATCAATGCCGGTTGTGTTCATGTTCATGTGATTCATGAGCTTTTCATTCCGTAAGGCAGCTTCACTAAGTTGATCCTCTTTTATTCAGACCGTAATACTTGGATAAAGACATTTTTCTGTTGATTCCTGTTCGTACCTTTGGAAAGGGCCTCAATAAAGCTACTTACATCCACTGGAGATCACGACTGTGACCTTACTTAGGATCCATATCTGAAGCTCCTGGACAGATCTCATCGTCATTTTTGGACTCATATGACATGACTTAGTAAGTCATGTTCTGCCTACATGTATGTGAATTTATTAAAGGACTTTGTCGTTAGCGCATCATCGTCGGTCGCCGTCCGATTAACTTGCAATGTGAGGATCACACTGGAGACGGGCATATAAATAATATGTTTACTGCTCGTTCCTAAATGGTAAAATTGTGTTGTTTCGAGCCGTTCTTGAGGGTTCTGTTCTGTCAGCCAGCCTGCTTCAGAGTCGACAAAGGCTTCATAGGTTAGCAAGTTCATCGGGTGCATCCTCCCATAACCTACTGTTCCGACATAGAGCTATAGCTTTCAAATAGCACAGCCTTATATTTCAGCTGTGGTCGGTCATGCCCCTCTTCTCGAAGTAATTTCACTCTAGAGGATGTTTTTTGGTATGACCGTCCTCTGTTCCATACGTAGCTGAGCCAAACTGCTAATGTCAAATACACCCATCACACCAACGATACCGAGACACCGACACCAGACCAACAATAGACCGAACAAAACATTATACTACCCCTCAGGTAGCAAGAATCGGTCGGCGTGGCGTAGATTTGGACACGCTTTAGCGGTATGACAGAAGTAAAAAAGAACAAATTGCAGCACCGGTAAAGGGCCTCCCCCCTTTGGAATACTGTCCCACCGTAAGATCTGAAGATTACGTCAATTGCAACACAGTTGTTAATCTCCTACTTTGTTTCTAGCGTATGCTATTTTACTTAGTGGATGAAGAAGAATGATTACACATCCGTCCTGATCTTGGTTGATGGTATGATAGGTGCACGAACCTTTCCCAATGCTTTCGTTGACTTATCCACCTAAGTCATTACTGTTATACTCTGCAATATCTTTTGGCAGAAGTAATATTTTGAGCTCATACTTTGAATACAGTGTACTTACATTGAACCCCTAACATCAAGAGCAAAATATGACACTATACAGTTATATAGCACTTTAAGATTTTTGTACCGTGAGCGGGAAAGATTGTTTCAAATGTAATTATGTCGATTTATATTGATAATGCTTTACTAGATATTATTAAAATTGATATACAGTACTGTGTAACTTAATTTATCAGGGAAGTACTTGTGATTATTTCAATGTGTACACTATAGTGGTGAGAAAAAAAAATGTATCGTAAGAATTAATGGAAGAACGTATATATAATTAGGGAGTTGAGATCCTCCTGATATAATGTAGGATTGTAAATACATCGGTTCCATCCTATGTTGAGTACGCTGACATGATACTTAGTAAATGTTCCTGAAAACCTAGATAATATGATGTCTGTCACAAACGAGACGTCAGTTGGCTAATGTAGAAATATACCAGCATCTAGCGCAGCTTTCGACACGCTAGGTATATGAGTGATGACGTTTAAAAAGGGAGTGTAACATAAACAGTGCAAAAATTGCTATATATGACTTGCTGGCGTATGGTGTTATTCTATCTTCACAGGCTTGGATAGCGCGGGTATTAAAGACACTATTAGATTAAGATACAACTTTGTATCAATGGAAAGCTGAATGAACGTAGAATACAAATATAAAGGAATGAATATATTTTCGATTTCCTTATTGCACAAAAGCAGCTTAAAACCTCAAACTTGCCGCAGTTACGATGAGGACATATCACGTGGACCCAATTGGTCCGTCGGCTCCTTTGTAGCTAAATTGATGAGCCGTGCTTAATTAAAGCAAAACCATTGGCCCGAATTCACTTTGTAGACAAACCTAGGTTTATATGCGTCATATAACGCGTTTTGACGCGTTTCAGACCAATTAAGCTAGGTTTGTCTGCACCTTGGTCTGAAACGCATCGAAACGCGTCAAATATCGCACATAAATCTAGGTTTGTCGACAAACCTCCTTTGTGAATTAAGGCCAATGTGAATATGTGTACGCCACACAAAATGATGTCCTCAAGTCGATAGCCAGTTTTTAGGTCGACAACTTCCGGTTTTCAAAGCTGTAAATCTCGAGTTTTCAGAAAGCTGTTACTCCTCTGACAGACGCTGAAATAGGATATAATTGATATTATAGTGACCTATGGCTTGTAAGCTTTTCGTTGATGTATAATTCCCCTATTCATTTTCTCTTCCGACATGGTCTTTAGCCCATTGGAAAATACACCTCGCATGAAAGCGGCGTAACATTATGTTTTTGACGTACATAGCGACTCTAAAGGTGATATCGTAGATTCGAATTTAGTTGAAAAATTCCCTCTAACTGTATAAAGGATAACAGGTATAGTGACAGTATAATTAATATTCGTTGTTATGATAATAGTGCGGAGAAACATTGTAATTAAACTGATGCAGACGACGATGCAAAATGATAAATATATCTTGTGATTGATTATAACAATAAAATAATGACACTTGGAAATGATTTTGCAGATGGTTTTAATCATTACTGAAAATAGTGATTAGAATAAGAGGACGATGATGATAACGATGATGGTGGTAATGCTAGAGATCGCGGTGATGATGGTTGTGTTGAATATGGTGATGTCTATAATAATGGTACTGATAGTGATAGTGATAACGATAATAATGGAGATGACAATGGTGGTCTTCAATATTGACAATAATGATGATGAAAATAATATGATGATGCCCATGCTGGTGGTGATGTTAGTCATGATGATGATGATGATGACGACTATGATAATCATAATTATGATGATAATGACGACGACAATGATAAATTTTACAATTATGGAGATAATGATGATGATGATAATGATGATTATGATGATGGTGATGACAATGATGATGACAGTGACGATGGTCGTGATGATGATGATGATGATGATGAAGGTCGGATGATGATGATGATGATGATGGTGGTGATAATAATGATGGCGATGATGGCGATGATAATAGTTTGGAAGGTGGTGATAATGATGATGATGACGAGGATGGTGATAATTTTGTTTTCATAGGTTTTTATTCGTTTCTCTCAAAGAAAAATTGTACATTTATAACATTGGATACAAAATAACAAAATAATTTAACATAGGTCTTATAAATTTACCAATGATCTTTTACATTTACATACAAAAGTTACACCTCTTCATTTTCCTTTGGAGACAAAAAAATTATATATATAAAAAAAGAGAAAAAGCTACAAAACACCTACTACCCCCCCCCCCCCACCCCACACAACATTTAAACACATAACATGTACAACAGTATACAAAACACACACTAACATAGAACGAGCAACAACAAAAAAAAAAAAAAAAAAAAAAGAGAGAAGAGAGGAGGGTCAGGAAGTTGTATATTGAGGAAAAAAAAAACTGAACACATTTATTCTAAATCTAATGATGATAACGATGGCGATGAAACATGTCATCGTTATCGTCATCGTTATCAATAATGTCAATTGAAACAGTGGACATCGATTTGCACAATAGTTAGAGAAATAAATTGGTCTAATACGATGGTTATGACCATGGTAACAAACCAAACAAAACGTCACCAGAACACTTATTTGTCCTCATTACGTCAAACCGCAATGTGTAAAAATACATAAATATTACTAATGACTTAAACCTGCAATAATCATGATTTTTAACAACTTAAAAAATACGATATGATCATTTACGGCAACCCTTCTATCAATCTGTGTCATTGGTTTCTCCTTCTCTCTCTCTCTCTCCCTCTCTTTTCTACTCCCCTCTCTTTCGTTTTGTGTCTCCTTTTCTCTATTTACCTTATTCATCCCCTTTTTGTTTTTCTTTTCCTTCCGATCTCCCTTCTCTCTTTATTTCTTTCTTTGCACCTTTGTATTTGTTTATTTTGTTTCGATAAAGTGTAAAAATAGAGAAACAAAGACATAATGAGAAGAAAAAAACAACAGCAACAAAGTACCCTGTCTTCAACTGTCTTCTAGCTGAGTCCAAGCAGAGATTTGATTGGGTACGTACATGCATCACCAAGAAAACAAATATCCTTCAGAGACTAAATATAGTTTCGTAAGATCCCCCTATAAGATACGATTTTCGAAGAAAAGGCTATTACACACAATACAGATTCAGTTTCTGACTAATGATAAGAACAGCTTTCTAAGTCAGAATCAAAACTGAATCGGCTTCAACTTTTAGACAATCGCAACAAATGGTCTGAAGTAACTTTACGATTCCAAGTGAGACGATTGAGCATTTCCTTCTCCAAAGAAGTTTGAAATCCCTTGAGAATTTGATTAAGCATATGGCTATTAGATCCTCGATCATTAAGATTTTATGTAGGTTTGAATGTTCAAATTAAACGCTATTACAAATTCTTCTCATATTGGATCAAAATCAGATCTTTAGTGTGCGACGGGCCTCTTGTGGCGTTTCATCGAAATACACGTAGGGCCTAACATTTTTTTTTACAGTGTTACTGTTATGCAGCAAAAATTGAAATTCAAAGTGTTCTTATCACCTTCCTCTTCCTCATCATTATGATTACATTGTGGAATCATAGTAGATCTATGACTCGCATTGATATCATTATCATTTTAAAAAATCGCTCGTACAATTTTCATTTTGGCTCTAACCAAGGACTATTATTTGCAATTGTTGGATTGAACTTTAATAATGGTATTATGTAAACTACATTGTTTTGAGAAGTGTTTACATCTCTATTTGGAAGAAATATCCAAAAAAAATGTCGAGTAGGGCACAGTATAGTAAATGCCGCTCTATTGGGCTAGCGCAAGACAACATTATACACCATGTTGTAAACAACAGAAACCAAGTTGGCCGAATCCATGCTCACATGAATGCTCAAAGAGATACGATCATAATACCCAGTGAATGCTAATGAAATAGCGTCATCTATCGGTAAAGTTTTACACTGCCTAAACGACAATCCGCGACCCTGGTAAATAATAGTTTTTTATTAGAGCCAGTAGAAAAATCATACAAGTGACTTTTTGATAATAATATTATTAATGACAATAATAATAATGGTAATTATATCAACAACAACAACAACAATGATAATAATGCTAATAATAATATTATCATCAATCTTATCAATAATAATAACAATAATGATGATAATAATAGCTATACTAGATAAAGGTCTACTACTAGTAGGCCTAGTAGTACTCCTACTAACAACAACATCAAGAACCAGAGGCGGCCCTCCCGGGGGGGGGGGGCAGGGGGGGCACAGTGCCCCCCACTTTTTCAGATACCCCCAAAATGCCCCTTTTACTTTGACAAGTGCCCCTATTACTTAGTAAAAGTGCCCCTTTCCCCTTTTCACCTCTGACGAGTGCCCTTTTTATTTTTGACACGTGCCCCTTTTCCTTCGACATGTTCCCATTTTCCTTTGCAATAAATGTTCATTTTCCATTCTCATGAATCTTGAAATTATCTTGAATAAGTGCCCTTTTTAATCTGTAGTAAGTGCCTCTTTTCAGGTACGAGAAGTGCCCCTTTTCACTTGTAATAAGTGCCCCCTTCACCTCTGATGATTGCCCTATTCAAAACTGAGAGGTGCTCTTTTTGCTTTGACAACTTCCCCTTTTTTCCTTTGTAAGAAGTGCCCCTTCTCCTTTTAATAACTACCCCTTTTTTAAACTCGGATGAGCGCACCTTTCATTTTAACATGTGCCCCTCTTATTTTCTAATAAGTGCCCCTTTTCCTTATGATAAGTGCCCCCATTAAAAAGAGAGAGCTCCTTCCCATTCTCATAACTTCCCCTTTCCCTTTCTAATAAGGGCCCCTTTTCCTTATGATAAGTGCCCCCATTAAAAAGAGAGAGCTCCTTCCCCTTCTCATAACTCCCCCTTCCCCTTCTCATAACTGCCCCTTTTAAACATCTGAACGGTGCCCCCTTTTCATTCAACAAATGCACATTTTCCTTTATTATAAGTGCCCCTTTTACATTTTCATAAGTGCCCCTTTTCATATCTGGTCAGTGCCCCTTTGCAACTCTGATAATTTCCCTTTTTTAATAATGATACGTGCCCCTTTTCCTTTCTAATAAGGGACCTATCCCCTTTTCACCTCTTATAAATGACCCTATTAAAATCTGATGGGTGCCCCTTTTCCGTCAACAAATGCCTATTTCCCATTTTCGTAAACGCCTCCTTTTCATCACTGGTGAGTGCCTCTTTTCAAGTGAAAAAAATGCCTCATTTTCACCTCTTATAATTATCCTTTGTACTTATACACGTGCTCCTTTTCTTTTCTAATAAGTGTCTTATCCCTTTCGATAATTGTCCCCTTTTCATGTAATCATTAAACGTGCCCCTTATTTAAAGCGACTAAGAGCAGTTTCCCCCAAAGTTCGCTCGCTGCGCTCGCTCGCATTTAAAGATTATATAATTATGTTACTTATCAAAGGTCTTTTCAGTCTTCCGTTATGAGAATGTGCTTATAACCCCATCACGATTGGCTTTTTTCCTCTTTATAAGATGTAATTTTTCGCACTGCGACCTCACAGATCTTTAAAAATTTTCTCGCTCACTTCACTCACTCGTAAATGCATATTCAGACATCACACCCAACTGTAAAGTTTGATGCTTAAGCGATATCTTGTATGATGTATGAAGAGAAACAAATATTGAAATCATCCCTGATAATGTAATCACAATGTAGGGGTATATACCAATGTCTAAAAATTGTATATTTTCGCTTTGAGATTTCCCACTGTAGGTGCCCTTTTTTCCAGAAAGTGCCCTTTTTTGTTGGTGCCCCCCCCCACTTTGAAAGTCGCTCGGCCGCCCCTGTCAAGAACTGTACAATGATAATAATAATATTGGATATCCACCACGTAATGTACTCAAGTTACTGCTATCAAAATTTTAGGAATATACCGCGTCATAAATACAAGTTCAGCGACATAATAAATAATGGGTTTTAACAAGGCAAGTTTAGAGTGCAAGTTTAGAGTGCATGGTTCAGATCCGACTTGTCTAATCTACACCAAGTGGTGGCCATTCATGATAATCGTTCCAAACTAATGCCTATAACATGCGTTGTTCCTCAGGGAAGCATTTTAGGCCCAATTTTATTCACAAGTTATATCAATGATATGTGTATGATATGTATTAGAAATTCGGTTTATTACATTGCCATAAACCGTTGGAATTCCCTTCCTCATGATTCATGATAATATAATAATGATATACAAAACACTTTTCTTTCCTTTGCCGGTTCATACTTTTAAATTGTGTATATACTTATGTTTTTGTAAGTTATAGAAATTCAACA